ACATAAGAATGACTAATAACTTTGGCAAGCATCTATTGTATTTTTCACATAAATAAAACCAGACAATTATAATCCTACTTGTAGAAGGTTTTATACATAGTTATTGGGTTATAATCATAAAAAAATTAACAACTTGTTAGCATTAGTAGCAATTCCGTTCAACAACTTTTGGAAGCATTTATTAATCATTTATTAACACTTATTTATAAACTAACTTCTGCAGGCACATTTCCACCATGTTTATTTCATTTAATAATACAATTTTCAATTCATTTTATGAGCTTATGGCTGTTCTCTGTAACTGTATGAAGACAACCACACTATCTCTTCTGGTCATAGTCGAGAGGGACCAGAAGACCCAGTTGAGCCTTGACAGTGTCTGTATTGGAAGACTAACTTTCTCCTGCATGTAGTTTTTTTTGGCTCTTTCCCTTAAAAGATGATCTTGGAAATTACACATTACCTACATTATGGCAAGAAAGGGCTGTAGTGCTGTTTTATCATTGCTTAGTTAAATCAGTCTGATAAAAAGACATCCTGTAAAATTTCAGCATAGTTTATTACTGGCTGCTGGGAAAAAAATCATGACTCATGCATTATATATGCATCTTTACTTGACATGTGCAAGTAGTTAACTGTCCCTGTGTAAACAGCATTTATATCTGAATCTTAGCCAGAAACCTGTCCCTAAAATGTGAACAGAGGAAAAAATTTATTTTGTTTCCATTAAAGAATATTGACCAAGTATGGAAATTATGATGACCCAACTACAAATCATAATAGAGAATACTAAATGTGTGTAGTCTAAACATCCTCCTCACTCAGCTGAGAAGATGTTGAGGCATGGTAGGAAAGTGATCCTTAGTTACTTAAGCACAGTGAGAAACTGTCTCAAAAGCATGTATTTATTTTTCAAATTTATCATTCAAAAGACTCAAAAGTATCCCAAATGTCTCAAAAAATATAAACAAAACAAAAAAAAAACCCTTCACAATCAGTAAAGCTTCTTTAAAAATTCTTTCAGGAACTGAAAATAGGGATTTAGAAGAGGCTATCTCAATATTATCCTCATGACTCTCTAAGTAGGCTAAAATATAAATGAAGTTTAAACAGATGTTTTAGAAAACTTGCTGAAACCCTCTGAATGCTTAGGAAACAAGAAAAGGCTGAATTTTTCAGAAAGATTCCAGTTACATTTAGCAGTATTTTCATTTTAAAAAAGGACATCAATATTATTTTTTGACATCTCCATCTGAGAAGACTTTTTCTGCTCTGGGCTGTTCAGTCTGTGTTTTGGTAACACATCTCATTTTTCTGGTTTGGCCTTATAGTACCTCACAAGTAGAACAAGTTTTTAACTCATTATGGAATATCTGCAAGAACTTACGATAAATGCAACCAGTTTTCTTTTGATTTCCCTATCAAATTATATAGTGTAGCAACAACAAGATTTACAAAAAGATGCCTCCCACTTAGTAAATATTTGAAATTCTGAAGTAGTTTTTGATTTTAAAGTAGATCAGAGATAAATTCAGAGAAATATAGGATATACAATCTCAATCATTCTATGCAGGGGTATACAAATAGAGATTTCAGAAAACAGCATTAATTAATTATGGACCTAGCATTAATTTTTAAATTGTCCACTGTCTTCTCCGTAAAGTTTACCTTCCCAATATTTGTCCAAGTATATCTATTTGTAGACTAAGATGACTTTTCAGGTTGTTTTCATATTTACTAGTTTTTGTCATCCCTTGGAGTAGTCTTTGATGATAAATGCTATTAAGAGGTACTGTATTGGCTTTGTGTGGCAAGGTTTTGGTAGTAGGGGGGGCTACAGGGGTGGCTTCTGTAAGAAGCTGCTGGAAGCTTCCCCTGTGTTTGAGAGAGAGCCTGTACCAGCCAGCTCTAAGACGGACCCGCCGCCGGCCAAGGCCGAGCCAATCAGCAATAGTTGTAACGCCTCTGTGATAACATTTTTAAGAAGGAAAAAAAGTTGCTGGGACAGACAGAAATGGAAGCTGGAGAGAGGAAAACATGTAAGAGAAACAATCCTGCAGACACCACGGTCAGTCAGAAAGGAGTAGGAGGAGATGCTCCAGGCACCGGAGAAGATTCCTCTGCAGCCCGTGGGGAAGACCATGGTGAGGCAGGCTGTCTCCCTGCAGCCCATGGAGATCCATGGTGGAGCAGATATCCACCTGCAGCCCGTGGAAAACCCCACGCTGGAGCAGGTGGGTTCCCGAAGGAGGCTGTGACCCCATGGGAAGCCCGAACTGGAGCAGGCTCCTGGCAGGACCTGTGGCCCTGTGGAGAGAGGAGCCCACGCTGGAGCAGGTTTTCTGGCAGGACTTGTGACCCCGCGGGGGACCCATGCTGGAGCAGTCTGTCCCTGAAGGACTGCACACCATGGAAGGGACCCATGCTGGAGCAGTTTGTGAAGAACTGTAGCCTGTGGGAAGGACCCACATTGGAGAAGTTTGTGGAGGACTGTATCCCATGAGAGGGACCCCATGCTGGAGCAGGGGAAGAGTGTGAGGAGTCCTGCCCCTGAAGAGGATGAAATGGCAGAGACAATGTGTGATGAACTGACTGTAAACCCCATTCCCTGTCCCCCTGCGCTGATGATGGGGGTAGGTAGAGAATCTGGGAGTGAAGTTGTGCCTGGGAAGAAGGGAAGGGTGGAGGGAAGGTGTTCTGAGATTTGGTTTTATTTCTCATTACTTTACTCTGGTTGATTGGTAATAAATTGAGTTCATTTTCCCCAAGCTGAGTCTGTTTTGCCCGTGATGGTAATTGGTGGGTGATCTCTTCCTGTCCTTATCTCGACCCACAAGCTCTTTGTTACATTTTCTCTCCCCTGTCCAGCTGAGGAGGGGGGATTGATAGAAGGGCTTTGGTGGGCACCTGGCATCCAGCCAGGGTCAACCCACCACAGATACCTTTAAGATGTCCAAAACCAGTGTGACCTATTATGTTTTTTCAACAAAACCTCTCAGCATTACAGTTGGGGGACAATGAAATGAAGAGGAAAATATATGCTTAAAAGAAGGTAAACCCCCTGAAAACTTTCAAGTAAGAAAGAAGAATGAACTGAAAAAAGTAAGGTAAATTGCACAAAAAGAAGATGTGGGGAAATAACATGACAGCATGTAGGAACTAATACAGCCTTTTTCTCAAAGAAGCTGAATATTCAATTTTAGTAGGGATGGCAGCAGAGATCCTAAATACTCAGAGTCTACTTCACAGTGGTATTGCCTTCATAAGGACTGCAGGTATTTGTACCTGCCACTCTACTCTGTTTTTAGAATAAATTACCATACAATTCAAACAGATATTGTACTAAAATAATTCTAATAAGATCAATTCATATTATACAGAAATCTCCAAAATGAGCTGTATACAACAACTTAAAAACATGTAATGCTGAAAGAATGTTTCAAAATCAAAGTGTGAACTTTTGAAAAAGGCAGCTCCAGTCAACTCTAATAACAACAAGGGTCTGTCAAGTTATACATCTTTCCTAATGTAATCAAACTTGTCATAAACTTCACATTAACATAAATAATAGGAAAGAAAGTTTTATGGGGAGTAAGGTAAATACACTGTTCTACAAAGTTAACACTGAGGACTTTCTTTTTTGTTCTGGCTTTAAGTTTAAATTAAGCATCTGTGTGATTGCACTCTGTAGCCACTGGGTTTGTTCTCATTTGAGTACATTGCACCCCACTACACAGACTGGTCACTTCAGGTTTTAGTATTTGGTACATTGTAGTTCTCCTCAGAGAAATATATTGCAAATTCATTGAAGGAAGTAGCTATGAGAAAAAAAAGTCTCAAACTGCGTCTGAAACATAACATGAAAAGAAGGGAAGAGGTACACTAATGTCCATTAATGTGCATGCCCTGCAACTAGAGGAAGCACATTGTGTTCTTTAGATCTTCTAGTACTGAAAGAAATACAAGCTATACCAGACTAAAATGAACGCTACTATGATTTACAGTATTACATTTATACACACAGTTACTATGTTTGGTTATGAAAAACAAAAGATAAAAAGTCATTATATGTTTCTTTGAATATATGTTAATTACATGTTTATTACATGTTTCTTTGAAATAACTCTGTAATTTGGAACATGCTCTGCATAGTGCAGAATTTTTCTGTGTGGATTATGGGATATGAAAGGGAAAGAGATAACACACATTACATCATTTGCTACATTTTTTCTCCCATCACTGTGATGATAGCTGCAAAACCATTCACCTCCTGTATAAATCAGAAGAGTGTTGGGGCTACTTTAACTTGCACTACCTGTTAAAAATATCGAAGGGTAAATATGGATGCAAGGGATTACTGATCTGTTGAATATATTTTGTCAACATTACTATGTATAAACACCCCACCTTGGCATGTACTTAAAGAATTCTTGTCTGTTTGGGGAGGGTTATACTTTCTTCTGCCTTTAGAGAAGTGCAAAGAAGGCATTTAATGTTTGTTGAACAATACTCTTATAGACATGCTTTTGAAACATACATCATTAATATTAACAGGTATGTAGAAAGGTTACTAAGTAGCTCAAAATCAGTAATTAATGCCCAAGATTAAATATCACGTAATAGCTTACTTAAAATTTTTAATTTAACTGCATACATAATGCACATTCTCAAACTAACTCCTCTGTGATTTCCAATCTTTTTGAAATGAATAGCTTAAAAAATATTTTTCATATCTACTTGACTGGGCAGTGAAAAATGCAAAATAATTGTAAATTTGTTCACCAAAATTTTTTTAAAACTAAAAAGTAATGGTTGACTTTTACAAGATTACAGTAAGATTTCTAATTGGTGTAAAGAGGTCTGCATTAAAATTAACTGAAGACACAGTTACTGGACTAAGACTAATGGAGAAACAAAGAATCAGTTAAAATGTACTTGCATTCTTTTCCCTTGACATTTTTTTCAGTTAAAATACTTCCATTTATTTTTTGTATACTTACTTTGAACTCCATGGGAGCGAACTATTTTCCAGGTTTCTGAGGCTACCTCTTTTACATCCACTTGGTAATGATGAATGGGCACACCTCCATGTGAATCTGGCTTATTGAACAAAACCTTGGCAGTGGTTTGTGACAACTCTAAAACTCGTACTCCATAAGGATTTGATGGCACATCTAAAAAAGTACAAACATTAATTTAATAATCAGCAGCAACTATACAGACTTAAACAGTTGATAATCTACTCCAAAAAGTCTCCTTTGCATCCTGAAGGGATAAAAGATGAATATTGAATATGATGTAATAATGTTTGCCTTAGATAAACAGATTAAGCTTTCTAATAGAGAGCTGTAAGAAAACCACATTTATTTTCTTGTATGCTGAGGTAATGCAAAAAATTTTTCCATTTCTGCCTTTCTTTTATAATATGATCTTGTTTAATAGCTAATTTCATCATAGGAAAATGTAAGAGATTATTTTGTTTACTGTATAATTACATAAAAGAGAATAACAAACTTTAAATCAAATTTAACAAGAGGAATAGTTATAGCTAAATAGATCATTCAGAGTCTGAATTCTTCTAAATGAGATTATGACAAAAAATTGCAGAAATAATTTGGCCATTTTTATGAAACTCTGAAATACTGCTGAAAATATGAATCCTTTTTTTCTTTTTTTTTTTTTTTGAAAGACTGGATTCCAAGCTACTAGAAAGGAATATTAATGGAAGGTTTCTATTATCTTTTCAGTTTCAGAAATAATTTGCAGAATAGGTGGAAAGAAACATTTTATCTGAAATCAAAAAGAAGTGCATATCTTTTGAAGTAGAAAAGAACTACGAAAATAACGCAAGTGTCTGTAGGTGTTGAGATGCTAGATATGAAACAAAACCAAAAAATTAACCTTGGGGTCAATACATTTTTAAAAATAGAAACATTAAGTTACTTTTACAATGTATGACCAAACTAACACATAGAAGACAAAAGATTAAGTTTTCAGGACATGCTTTAGTGGGCATGGTGGTGTTGCATTGACGGTTGGACTCGATGACCTTAAAGGTCTTTTCCAACCCAAACAATTCTATGATTCTATGATTTTCTAATTGTCCTACATTTTAAAGTGTTATAATTACAAAAAAACCCTGTATTGAGAATACTAGGAAGAATTTTAGTTCTGTGGACAGCAATTTGAAACACATTAAGAATTTCTCTTCTGATACATCCAACAATTATTTGCATACCTGCTTACAGATTTGACATTGCTTTTGTCTCCATGATATGAAAGATATTTTTATAAGGACATGCAAGAATTTGAGCCAAAGCCTATCATTTGGTTAGTGAGTACAGAACCATTTACATAAAATGTAGTCTTTATTCAAGGGCTGTCAGACAGTTGGTAACAAAAAGAAAGTCAATCTGAGCTTCACCCAATATTGGTACTTGAATGAAAATGAGCCAAAAATGTCTATAAAATATTAAATAATGGGTTTAAGGACATACTCAGCCACGAATTCTCAGGAAAGCAACACCTGCCAAAGCTGCTCTAAAGGGGATGATTTGTATAACTTTTTAATTATCAGGCACCTAAATTTTTCAGAAAAATTCTCTAACAGTTGTCAGAGTTGAGTGTCTTAATGCTAGTATCATACTTCTGTAAATTCTTAGAGTTAGCATTTCTGAATATAGGACTCCTGAAACCTCCAATGCTTGATGCTCATTGGGTTAAAACCAGCATAGATTTATTTACATGGAGGAACAATTTTAATATCTTTTACTTAGAGACACAACTATATGAATCCATGACGTTAAAGATTTGAGTAGAATGCAAATCTCAGCTTGAGGGATTCAAACCCTCAAATCCTTTCTTATTCCAGGAAACATTAATTTCATCAGGATATAGGATGTTGCAGGAAGTTTTCACCCTTCTTAGCGAAGCTGTATTACTCTGCAGAATGGAATACAAGATTCATGGTCAGACAGAATGTGACCAAATATAACCAGTATGCTATGCATCCAGGAGAACACAGACCTGGTGTTTGAATCTTTTTCTAAATTGACCAAAAAGCTGGGATTTTTTAGAAAAAAGAAAACATGTTTGAAAAACAATACAGATTTCTTTCTGTGATCACATGGAAGAATTAGATATATAAGTTGCTTGCAAAGTAAGCATTGATCCCAAAATCAGAGGAGGTTGAGAATTAGAACCAGCTTGTGACCCTTCTCCTCCAGATTCTCATTACAGCTGAGAGCAGCATTTTATTTTTTTTCCCTGATAGTGACAGTACCTCAAGCACCATTCTGTCTACTGATTCCTTCCCTCCCTAGCTCAAATGACTGTTCTGAAAGGGGTGGGAAAAATACAACATAAGAATGCCAGCAAAACAATCCAGGATAGCCAAAGTAAAGCAGCACAGCACCATGTGAGTGATGTAGATACCAATCACTTGGGAAGATGAATATAGCTCTGCAGTACTGAAGACGAATGGTCTTTGGATTTAATTGCAAGCTCAAAGCTGCTGTGGATAGCTACAATATTACAAATGGTTTCTAAACACTTTTATTCCTTTTCTGTTGTTAAAAGAGTTCAAAATGAAACAAACAAAACATTGTTTAAGGTTGAATGAATATTTAATTTCAATCAATCAGGCTGTTTTTATGTTAGCTTTTGTATGCTCTTTCTGTAAGGCAATTCACTGTTACTTCAGTCTGGATCAAAACAATTATTTGGTCGATGCTATGAAACAAAAGTGTGTTATTTACATATCCACTCTGTTCTTGACTTTCAAAATGTTAAGCAGATATCTTTTCCTTCTGTGTTTATGCCTGTATATGATTAACTACAATAAACATGGCATAGGGAAGAAGAAATCCTTCAGGAAGAACCTTATGTTCTCTACTGCAAATTCAAGTATAATTTCTGCCAAATGAAGATATGATTCCATTTGGTAATAAGAATAAAATGAAGCTCCTGTGAAAACCCAGTAAAATATTTTGCACAACTAGCACAATGCAACATGTTTAAAACTCATTTAAGTGTGACTTACATCCACAATACTATTTTAAATATGCATTCCACAGTCCAAGCAACCCACATGTGTAGGTGACTTTTATGCAGTTTTCACAGTTGAACTACATCAGTTCTTAAGAAAAGAGTGAATCACCTGAAGAAAGTACAACAGGAGACACATTCCTAGTCAAAATCACAAACGAATACTAGCAATTCCATTAAGATAGAATAAAATACCTACTATCTCTTTCAGACTAGGCAAATCTATAACTTTTTCCCCAAAGAAGATCATTAGCAGCATAATGAGCTGAATCTAATTCTGTAGTTCTCTAATGAGGATGAATTTGATCATGCAAGGTAAACAGCCCTCTGGTCCTGATCTAGCTAAACATCCTAGCATTTGAGCTGTCCCCTGTCAGCTGAAATTATTTGGAGCATTGCCATAATTTTCATGTTACAATTGCAAGGCTTTTGGCTCAATGTTTAGCAGGAGTGAAGAATAATTTGCAAAGTTGTGAACTCTGAAGTCTGTGTCTGGAAGGATAGAACTGTGGATGCTTCTTGTTCTTTTTGCTTTTAGATCCAACCAACCAAATGAATCTCAGAGGACTTTAGCTATGGGCAGTGATTACTCTTTCATATACTGTTACTGATATAAGTTGGTGGACTATATAGTAGAAAAAGTGTGGGATTTCTCTTCTATGATCTAAAGATCACTTAGTGATAGCACAGGTTCTGGTATACTTTCTTAGACGTTCCACTGCTGTTTTTGTTATTGTTATACTGCTGTCTATACAAGTGATAGTTTACCAAAAGTTCAGCCTTTAAATTAAAACAAGTCATTAAAAAACCCCAAGTTGTCGTGGTTTAACCCCAGCCAGCAACTAAGCACCACACAGCTGTTCACTCACTTCCCCCTAACCCAGTGGGGTGGGGGAGAGAATCAGGAAAAAAAGGTAAGGCTTGTAGCTGGATATAAGAACAGTTTAATAGGACAGAAAGGAAGAAAATAATAATGATAGTAGTAATAATAATAAAATTACAATAATAATAATAATAATAATAATAATAACAACAGTAAAAGGATTGGAATAAAACAAGTGATGCACAATGCAATTGCTCAGCACTTGTCGACCAATGCCCAGTTAGTTCCCAAGCAGTGATCTGCACCCCCCTGGGCCAGCTCCCCCCACAGTTTATATACTGGGCGTGATGTTACATGGTATGGAATACCCCTTTGACCAGTTTGAGTCAGCTGTCCTGGTTGTGCCCCCTCCCAACTTCTTGTGCACCTCCAGCCTTCTTGCTGGCTGGGCATGAGAAGCTGAAAAATCCTTGACTTAGCATGAACACTACTTAGCAACAACTGAAAACATCAGTGTGTTATCAACATTCTTCTCATACTGAACCCAAAACATAACACTATACCAGCTACTAGAAAGAAAATTAACTCTATCCCAGCCAAAACCAGGACTATTATTACCCAACCCGTTCAATAAATGACAACCATTTATCACTGGGGATTTTCTTTTCAAGCTATTTTTTTGATAGTTTTATGGAAGAGAATAATTTTCCTTCTGAGAATTTAGCAGTCCTGGTGTAAATGAAGAAAAGGAAGTAATGGTGTCAGAGTAGGAAGTGGGGTCAGAGATTTATTGTCCAGTTAGCTCTTGTCTCCTGTCAGTATGTTCTTAGTGCAGTTCTGCAGCTTTCTTGCCTCTGAATATGTGGCATATATATTCACTGAAAGTAACTATGTCTAAATGCTGAACGTAAGTGGTATCAGGACCATGGCAGGGAAAGAGATGGGGCTGGGGAGAAGACTTTAGAGTCAAAGATCTCCATGAAATAGTTCATGCTGGTACATCTGCGCCACCTGGACACTCACAAGTCTATGGGACCAGATGAGATCCATCCAAGAGTACAGAGGGAACTGGCGGAGGAGCTTGCCAAGTCACTCTCTATCATTTATCAGCAGTCCTGGTCAACAGGGGAGGTCCCAGAAGACTGGAGGCTTGCCAATGTGATGCCCATTTACAAGAAGGGTCGGAGGGAGGATCTGGGGAACTATAGGCCTGTCAGCTTGACCTCAGTACCGGGGAAGATTATGGAGCGGTTCATCTTGAGAGCGCTCACATGGCACGTGCAGCACAACCAGGGGATCAGGCCC